TTTTTTCCTTTATGTTTTGCTATATTTCTTTATAACATATGTTGGACATACAAAAATAATAAAACAAACACCCATGCAATTATGGACAATGTTGCAAAGAAGAAACCTCTGGTGTGCATGTGCAAGAGTTTCTTTACACTCACGGCCCAAAACTTGGATTACCGAATTGTCTGGTTTGTGCCTTTCAACTTAACGAAAAAGGGCCAAGTTGCTCTCTAGAGCAGTGGTACAAATTTGCTCTTTGACCAAAGCCTGTTTCTTCCTAACCTCCGAACATTTGGTTTATATGACATACATTTTGACAACGGGTCTGAAATGAAATATCATTGCTTGCCTTTCCCTTATGACTTACAACCCTGGCGCATCTTCTCAAGGGTTCATTGGCTATTCCTCTTCTGTGATTTGCCTACTGACATATTTTCCCTTTAGCTCTTGGTTCTTCGTCTTTTTCTTATGGAATTGTAAGTGTTCTTTATATATTCTGGATACTACCTCTTTGTTCATTATACAGTTTGAAGTCTGGATCTGACTTTTGTCATGCTGATTTAGTTTATGTTGTAAAACTTACTCTTTTTAATGCTCTGTGCTTCTGATGGGTCAGAAACCTTGTCCTATCCAACACCATAAAAATAATCTCATGTATTTTATTTTTAAATTATTACTGTTTTACTTTTCATATTCATGTCTCTAATTCACCTGAAATATATTTTCATATTGCGTTGTAATTTTATCTTTTAATATTAATATTGAATTACCCTAACATCACATCAATTTAGTCCATCCCTTGTCTGCACACTGGTGTGTGTGTGTGTGTGTGTGTGTGTCTTAAATATATTTTTATTGATTTCAGAGAGGAAGGGAGAGGGAGAGATAAAAACATTAATGATGAGAATCATTGATTGGCTGCCTCCTGCACGCCCCCTACTGGGGATCAAGCCGCAGCCTAAGCATGTACCTTGGCTGGAATCAAACCAGGGAACCTTCAACCTGCAGACCAGTGCTGTATCCACTGAGCCAAACCAGCTAGGGCTGCACACTGATTTTTAATGTCAATTTCCTATTTATATCTGGGTCTGTTTCTAGGTGTTTCACTCGTTGTTCTATCTGCTTACCCCAGCACCAACCTCACCGTTGTTTTAACTAGCATAGCTTTATGAGGAGGCTTGATTTCTGGTGGGGCAAGTCCCTCCTCTGGTTCTTGCTCACAAATATCTTGGCCATTTTTCACCCTTTGCTCTTCCATATAAATTTTAGAATATGCTTGTCAAGATCAAAAATGAAACCTACTTGATCTTTTTATTGGAATTGCATCTTTATGATACTGGTAATACTGAATCACCCACCCATAAACACAGTATTTCTCTCCATTTATTTAGGGTTTTATTTATGCTCTTCAATAGTATGTTATAGTTTTTACATCAAGATCTTGCACATCTTTTTGTATATTTATGGCTACTTGCCTTATTATTATTATTATTATTATTATTATTATTATTATTATTTTGGTATTCTAAATAACTTTAAAAAACATTTTTTTTGCTGAAGTACAGAAATGCCATTTTATTTCCAATTTTTATTTTATATCCAGCAGGCTTGTTGTTGAAAATGCTTATGAGCTCTGATTGCTTATGTGTATACTCTCTTAGATTTTCTATGTAGAAAATTAAATTTTGAACAATGATAACTTTATTATTTCCTTAACTATCCTTATACATTTAATTTCTTTTTCTTGACATTTTGAATAACTCAGGACATCCATATAATGTTGGATAAAAACATAGAGCAGTTAGGCTCTATGTCTTGTTCCTGATTTGAAAGACAATATTTTAGTTTTTCAGCATTGGTTATGATGTTTGCTTTAGGTTTGGGATAAATATCTATTATGAGATTAAGAGAAATCTCTTTTATTCCTAGTTTGCTAACAGTGTTTAGAAAATTTGTGTATCTATTTTGATGGTCATATTGCTTTATTTTTTAATCTATTAATATAGTGAAGTTTTTCATTTATTTTTCTAATATTTAACAACCTTTGCATTTCTAGGATATACCCTGCGACTAAAGCAGGGTAGGATTACTTAGTTAGGATTTTTAAAAATTTTATTCATCATATATTGCCTCATTAATATAGTATTAACTTTCAGGTTTTGCCAATCTGGTAAAAAATAATATATTAGGAGTAATTTCAAAGTATATTTCTATTATTATGAGTGAGGTTGATTGTCTATTTATATGTTTGCCAATCTGATTTGTACAAACAAAAAAGTAACTAAGCATAGTTTCAATGTGCATTTCTGTTACTACAAGTGAGGTAAAGCATTTGTTCATATGTTTAAAAAGCATTTGTACTTTCTGTACTGTGAATCCTCTTTTCATGCTCTTTACCCCATCTTTCTGTTGAATTGTTGATCTTTTCCTTTAGTTGTAAAGAGTATGTGTGTGTGTGTGTGTGTGTGTGTGTGTGTAGAGTGTGTGTGTTTTTATATTTTAAGGAGATTAGCTATTTAACTATAATTTGAATTAAACACATATATTTTTTTTCCTTTCTTTTGTCGAGAACATTTTAGTTCTACCCTCTTAGCAGATTTCAATTATACAATACAGTGTTATCAACTATAGTCACTAAGTTACACATTAACTCCTCAAACCTTATTCATCTTTTTTTTTCTCTACCACATTTTTATTTAATTAATTAATTTTCAAATTAAATTTATTGGGATGACATTGATTAATAAAATTATATAGGTTTCAAGTGTACAGTTCTATGATACATCATCTGTGTGCCCACCATCCAAAGTCAAATCTTCCATCACCATATATTTGACCCCCTTTACCCTAATACTACACCTCCAACCCCCTTCCCTTTGGTAACCACTGTAGTGTTCTCTATGTCTATAAGGTTTTGTTTCCTTGTTTTTCTTTCGTTTCCTTGTTTCACTCATTCGTTGCTTTCAGTGTTATGTCTCACATGGAATGCTGCTCAGCCATCAGAAAAGATGAAACACTGACATCTGCAACAACATGAACAGATCTTGAGAATATAATGTTAAGCAGATAAGTCAGACAGACTTATGATTTTACTTATTCATAAGTGATTTCACTTGTTTATCTTTTAACTTATAAAATGATTTTACTTATTCATCTTATAACTTATAAACGTTTGAACCCTTTTACCAACCTCTCCTCACCCCTCAGCCCCTGGCAACCACTTTTGTATTCTCTGTTTCTATGAGTTCGGCTTTTTTTTTTTTTTAGATTCCACATATAAGTGATATCAGGCAATATGTGTCATTCTGGCTTTTTTCACTTAACATAATATGCTCTAGTTTCATCCATGTTGTCACAAATAATAAGATCTCCTTTTTAAGGCTGAAGAATATTTCTATGGACATATATACAGCATATTTTCTTGATTCATTCATCCATTACTGAACACTTAGGTTTTCTCAAACCTTGGCAACTGTAAATAGTACAACAATGTGAATAGTACAACAGTGAACATGGAAGTACAGATATCCTTTCAAGACAATGGTTTTGTTTCCTTTGGATATATACCCGTAAGTGTGTTTGCTGGATCATATGGCAGTTCTGTTTTTAATCTGAGGAAGCATACTGTTTTCCATAGTGGCCATCCCAGTTTACAATCCCACTAACAGTGCACAAGGGTTTCCTTTTCTCTACATTCTCATCAACTCTTGTTATTATTTCCTGTTTTGTTTTTTGTTTTATAATAACTATTCTAACAGGGGTCAGGTAATATCTCACTATGGTTTTGATTTGCATTTTTCTGATGATTAGTGATGTTGAGCTTCATTTCATGACCTGTTAGCCACTTGTATGTCTTCTTTGGAAAGCATATATTTTCTTAATTGTTTTGGAGGGTTTTCTTTTGTTGCTGTTATACTTTGCCTATGATGTTTTCATTACATAATTTTATATAAAATTTATAAATTTATATGTATCAAATTTATCTTCTAAAAATGTCAATGTTGAATTATTGTAGAAAGTCCTTCCCCACTAAGAGATTATAAAATATTTCCCTCATTTTTTCTATCATTTTTATGATTTTATTTTTTTATAGTTGAGTCATTATTCCATTTACAATTTATCCTGGTTTTCAGTGGAATATAAAGATCCAACCATAATTTTTTTTTACATCCCAGTTTTCCCAATACTATGTATCAAATTTTCATCTTCCCCCTACTGAGTTATGATGTCAGACTTATACTAAATTTCCTGTTCTTGCCACTTTTTCACTAATAAAAAGTGATAGATCATTTTTTAATTTAATTTTTAATTACAGTTTACATTCAATATTTTTTTGTATTTGTTTCAGGTGTACAGCATAGTGTGATAGCTCGTTCTTCTTACATATATGAACTTGTCTATATAAGTGGCCTTTTTAACCAGGTCATATAGCTACTTTACATCAGTTTTATTTCTCCTGCTAAATATTAAGCTCCTTATCAGCACAATTTCTAGAACAGTAGTTAGTAAGTGCATGCTTTAAGCAAAAGAGAAAAAGACAACTGAAAACTCTTGGGCTACCAGCTGCTGACCCAGGGTAAGAGGGTACCATACCCCCTGCCCCATCCTATAAGGCAGTGGTTCTCAACCTTCCTAATGCCGCGACCCTTTAATACAGTTCCTCATGTTGTGGTGACCCCCAATTTCATTGTTACAAACTGAACATAATTAAAGCAGAGTGATTCATCACAAAAACCATATGTAATTATATGTGTGTTTTCCGATGGTCTTAGGCGACCCCTGTGAAAGGATCGTTCAACCCCCAAAGGGGTCACGACCCATAGGCTGAGAACCGCTGCTGTAAGGGATTATTTTCCTGCCTGGGTTTAGAGGAAATACGTGTCTGTCTAGTTTCTTCAGCAAAAGTGGTGGAACGTGGCCAAAAGACCTGTGTCCCAAGATTGAAAAGTATCATGTCCACTTGTATCGCGCAGACGGATGCCAAAGCTGTCCATCTGCACTCCCTTTCTTCCTAGGAGAGGTCCCAGATCTCTACTCTGATGATGAAGTTGAAAGCATCATAAGCAACGTGAGGAATGAAGTCAAGAGCCAAGGTCTCGTTGACAACAGAGAGAACTGCTGGAAATTCTTTATAGATCGGGTCCGACGACAGCTGAAGGTATAGAAGGATTTATTGCCTGGGGTCGACAGGCCCAGAGATGATTCATGAAAGCCCCTACTAATATTCTGGACACAGCTGTCCTGGCTGATTGTCTTGAGAGTGGGAGGGGGAGGGTTCAGTGCCCTTCTCAGCCTTTTCAAGGATGCCCTCTCATCTGCTTCCCTCTTGCCTCATACAGTCTAAGTTTCCCACTTTCTCGGCTAGAAAGGCTGGCTATCGATTACAGATTTTTGTCTCTGTTGGATGTGTTTCTGTTTCCTGGGAAACTAAGAACCCCGGGATGTACCTGTCTCTCTGTGAGTGCTTCTCTGATACCTTTTTGGTTCTCCCATCTCTCTGACTTCCCAGGTGACGCTCTGCTTCTCCCCGGTGGGGAACAAGCTGAGGGTCCGCAGCAGGAGGTTCCCAGCCATTGTGACCTGCACGGCTATCGACTGGTTCCACGAGTGGCCTCAGCAGGCACTGGAGTCTGTCAGCCTCCGCTTCTTGCAGAGCACGGAGAGCATTGAGGTGAGAGGGCCAAGGAGACGCTCCTCAAGCTTCTTTCCACCTCAGGGTACAGGAATTCCATGTACAGAATTCCAGCGTCCAAGTTCAGGCTCAGATAGAGTTGTTGGAACAACTTCCCAAGTGGGGAAGCCATAGGGGGTGGGTGACCCCCAGTCTTCATGGAGAGACTATCTCTTTATTTCCTGCTCTTTGATTTTAGCCCACAGTCAAGCAGTCGATTAGCAAGTTCATGGCTTTTGTCCACACGAGTGTCAACCAGACGTCCCAGTCTTATCTGAGCAATGAGCAGCGCTACAACTACACAACCCCCAAGTCATTTCTGGAGTTCATCAGGCTCTACCAGAGCTTGCTGCGCAGGAATGGCCAAGAGCTCAAGTCCAAGACGGAGCGGCTGGAGAACGGGCTGCTGAAGCTCCACAGCACCTCTGCCCAGGTAGTGACAGTCCTTCCATCGTTCCTGCTGCTGGGGGGCTGAGAGGAGGTGGGAGCAGCCTCTTTTCAGAGAACTGGAGGGATCACACTTGAGGTCCCAAAGTGAGTCATGGTTTTCCGGAGGCCCCAGCACTATCAGAAACAGTACAAGAGTGGAGGCCGACCTGTCCAGCAGAAGGGCACATCCTCACCTTCAGGTCTGATCTGCTCCCTCTCCCTGCTGCTGGAATCCCCGAAAGCCCCTCTTCTCTCTTCCTCTTTATCATCTCCTCCTTTTGCACTGCTTCCCTCTCCAGTCTATTTCCCTTCCATTTTCAGAACCAAAAGAGAATAATCGAAAGAAGTGGTTACAGGGTTCTATCAATTTTCTTTTGTCTTACAGTATTACCTATCAAAGAGCCATTGAAACCTAGTTTCTTAAAGAAACCCTGTCTCCTTTCATGCATTTCCTCATAGATTTCTAAGTGGTTGGCCATCAAAAGAAGGCCCCTGTTGCCCTGTCCTTGTTAAAATTTTCTACTTTTCCAGATGGAACAAGTTTATTTTAGTCAATATACTCCTCTTCCTTGGAGAGCTGGGAACACCTCCAGGCCCTTCTGCCCATGCCCATCAAACATTGCTGATCTTTGATGGCTCCTTTCTGGGCTCTGTTTATCCGCAGCAGAACTGGTCTCTCATTATGGTGATGAAATTTCATTCACTTGCACAATTAAACTAAAATTGTGATCACTCTACCTATTGGGCATCACATGTTCCTATAGCTATCTAAGCCTTTCATTTACTGTCATTTTCTGAACTTTGCTTCTGGAATAGCTGTATTGAATATCTTTCTTCGGATTTGTACTTTCTCTCCACTTCAGTTTTCTTTATTCATGGATGTAATATAGCTAAAGGATTTCAGTTCATTTAGTGCAGGGGTGGGGAAGACCCAGCCTGTGGGCTGTGTGCGGCTCACAAAATCATTGGTCTGGCCCTGCCAAGGCATTAGGGGTGAGTTCATTAAATGTTTGACCGAATATCGCAGGCTAATTTTTAAGTTGATAATTTTGTATGGCCCTCAAATGCTATAAATATCCAAATGGTCCTTAGCAGAAATAAGGGCTCCCCAGCCCTGATTTAGTGGGATGCAGGGAATCCTTGCAAGCTATAATCATATTCTCTCTTGTGCTTGGAAACTTTTCTTCTATTATATGGTTTTGTTCATCTGCTCTGGCCTGTCCTGCAGGAGCAATGACTAGCTGGATGGGTTCCCTGCACCCGCATCTATTTTGTCCTCACTCATGGTTTTCATCCCTTTGGCCTTTTTCTCTCCATCCGAGGGAAGCTTTGCGGGTTCATTCTCAACAATGCTAATTTAATAGTGTGTGATATTGCTTCTGCTTCCCATGTTTCCAGTGAAGACTTTAATTATGCTATTGCATTTTTAATACCCTAACAGCTCTTCCTCGTCTTATGCTTTTTCCTTCTTTATTGCTTTTTTATTTTAGCCTGTTTTTCTGCAGCTGTATTACAGAAACCATTCTACTGGTTATGCCTAACAGCTCCCTCAGTGTTATTTCCAGATCCAGGATTGGGTCATCTTCAGAGCTGCATTCTTCTCCTTAGTCTTCTAGATGCCATTTATTTCCTTGTCCTGTATTTATATAACGACATTTTTTTTCCACTTACCTTCACAGGTGGTGGGACATTTGTTGAAAATCAATGGCATGTCAGCAAATGGCATGTGACAATGATCTCTGATGCTACTTTCTACCATTTGTGTCGTGACCAAACCCCATTTTTAAAGTTCAGTTTAGGGCAGATTGAAATACACAGATCCCAGCCCGGGCCCGAGCAGTTGACCTGGTGTTCACCTTGTTGTAGAAAGATAGCATCTTCTCTCCCAATCACTTTCTGCTCCTGTCAATCTCTGAATGTGTCGAAAACAGCATCAGAAAGAATCCAGATGCAGCACTGCCAGGTTTTTTAAAACATCTCCCACCTTTTCTTCTTTCTGCCCCCCCTCCCCACCTACGGTCCCTCAGAACATTCTGCATTCCCACCGGCACCGTTCTGCCTCCTCCCACTTCTCCCCTGGGAGTTGCTGATCAGTCTGTGTAGAGGATGTTTGCTGGGGAGCAAACAATAGGTAAGGTGCTCTTACACTCATAGAACAGCACCCAGTATTCTCTTTCCTACAGACAATGAGGAAAGCATAAATGTCTGTGTTCCTGGTTCAGGTGGTCTCTGTTTAAAATGGGGAAGCCTGCCCTGGCCAGGTTGGCTCAGTGGATAGAGAGTCATCCTGCCAACGAATGGTCCCTAGTTCAATTCCAGTCAAGGGCACATGCCCGGGTTGTAGGCTAAATCCCCGGGGGAGGGGGGGAGGCGGCGTGCAGGAGGCAACCAATCAATGATTCTCTCTCATCACTGATGTTTCTATCTCTCTCTCCCTCTCTCTTCCTCTCTGAAATCAATATATAATTTTTTTTAAAAGGAGAAGCCTGGTTGTACCTTTAGGTGAATCCAGCTCAATCTGCATATAGTTAGTGAAGAATCCTCCCAAGTCTTGAACCAGTTTCAGTTTCTTCTCCTTCTATTGTCTCTTCTTCAGGGAATAACACTTCTACCTGCCCAGGTCCCTAGGCCAGAAAGTGGTGCATTGTCTTTGACTCCTGCCTTTTCCTCACCTCCTACATTTAAGCATTAACAAATTCTATCAGTTTTCTAAATAACTCTCACATGCACCCCTCTTGCTGTATCCCCTATTTTCAATGTCTTGATGTAGACACTTTTATCTGGATTATTTCAATAAGTCAAACTCTCAGCTCTCACCCCCAGCCCATCCACGCTTTGCTAGCAACCTCTTGCATCAGCCATCGGGCCAAAATCCTTGTGGTCATCTGTGGCTCTCCTCATTCCTCTCTGTCTCTCACAATCTACAACTAGAAAATCACTGTTGGCTCTAACTTCAAACATGCCCAGAATCTCAGCAGTTCTCGCCTCCTACACTGCTACTACCCAAATCTGAGCCACTGTCATCTTACCTGGAAGCCACAATATCCTGTATTCATTTGTCGGTTCTACTTTTGCTCCTCAGTAACCTGTCATCAACAGAGCAGCCAGAGCGATCCATTTGAAACATAAATGAAATAGTGTCACTTTTCTGCTCAAATCCCTGCGATAGGAGTGGCCCTTAGTTCCCTCATTACAGTGGCTTCCGAGGCTCCTCCCAAACCCTGCCCTGTTACCTCTCAGCCCTAATCTGCTGCTACCCAATCCCTGTGACATTCCCCTCCAGCCACACTGCTTCTTTGCTCTCTCCTCAGACATTCCAGGCCTTCGCATTGGCTATTCCCTCTACCTCAGATGTCCTTCCCTCTAAACTTCCTGTGGCTCACTTCCTCACTGCCTCCAAATGTTACCTTCTCAATGAACCTTACCCTGATGACTCTACTTTAAAATATAAGCCCATACACTCCTGATGCCCTCATTAGGTTCTACTTGGCCTTTCCCCATAGCACTTACCCCGGTCTAACATATTATATGACGTACTTGTTTGTTTCTTGGTGTTGTTGTCTATCTCCATCTGTTGAATGCAAGCTCCATAAGGACAGGGATCTTCTCTCTTTTACTCACTGACGTGTGTCAGGTGCCTAAAACTGTGCCTGGACAGAGTGAGCATTCATTGACTATCTGTTGAATAAATGCATTAGTTAATGAATAGCATTCTACTTTATCTCCCTGACTATATTCTGGAAGCACCCTAGACCAGTACAACCCAATGGAAATATCCTGCAAGTCGTGTATGCACATTTAAACTTTCTAGTAGCTGCTTCAAAAAAATTTAAAAATGAAACAAGTGAGTTTTGTTTAAATGGAATATTTTAATTATATATACTTTATCATATACTTTAATAATATTTGTTACTTAACCCAATATATCTAAAATATCATTTTAACATGTAATCGATGTAAAAAAAGTTCTTAATTATAGACTTCCCCTTTTTCCGACATGGTTTCAAAAACTAGGGAATATGATGGTGCAGCACATCTCAGTTGGGACAAGACACGTTGTAAGTGCTCATTGGCCACATGGGGCTCATGATTACCAAACTACACAGCACACCTCTAGACCTGCTTTTAGAGTGATCTTTGCTCAAGCCAGAAGTCTGAGTATTCTCTCTTGTAGGTCTTAATGATTTAGACCAGTGGTTCTCAACCTTCCTAATGCCGTGACCCTTTAATACAGTTCCTTATGTTGTGGTGACCCCCAACCATAAAATTATTTTCCTTGCTACTTCATAACTGTAATTTTGCTACTGTTATGAATCGTAATGTAAATATCTATATGCAGGATGTATTTTCATTGTTACAAATTGAACATAATTAAAGCATAGTGATTAATCACAAAACAATATGTAATTATATATGTGTTTTCCGATGGTCTTAGGTGACCCCTGTGAAAGGGTCATTCGATCCCCAAAGGGGTCGCGACCCACAGGTTGAGAACCGCTGATTTAGACATTACAGCTCAGATTCTCTGCTCTTTTAATAGCTTTTAAAATTGTCTCTGCAGGACTGAAGCACATCATCATAATCTGATGCAAGAATAATGACTTGAACTATATTCTATCAGTATCCTACGGCCCAATTATGACTGTTTTTGGTGTTCATAATCTGGTGGGAGTAGACTGAATGAATCCCCCAGCTCTAGCTAGACTCCAAATTTATTTAGCAATAATAGTTGTATTAGAAGTAGTAGTGATAATGGTAATAATGGCAATAATTAACAGTTGTGTGGTAATCTAAAGTTTAGAAACTTTAGCTATAATTCCATGCTTAGCCTCAGCTCATCAGAAATGTAACTATTTTTCTATAACTGGGTTTAACTTAGCTCTGGGTCCATCTTTGTCATTTAAGCATAGAAAGCTCTCAGTGTTTCATTTCAGGCTGCCTTGGTGACTTCAGGTTATAAACTCTGGCAGCTGAGAGTTTTCCTCTGGAGGCGTTTCCTCCTGT